AGTTGGAATGGACCTCTAGAGGCCACTTGATCTCTTTCTTTTATCAGAGTAAGGCCATATGACACAAAGTTCCTCAGGGGAATGCTCTATAAGAAAATTCATAGTTTCTCTGGGTAAGGTATTCCAGTATTTGACTACTTTCCTTCTGAGAAAATTTGTCCCAATATTTTCTAGAAATTTTCCCTTTTGTAAATTTTTTCTACATACCGTACGTTAATGAGAATAATCCCATTCTTATTAGAGATCTAAAGGCAGCATCAATTATAGACAATATCAGAAACCAAAGTATGAAATTTACGCACTATGCAGTACTCTAAATCATTTAATTTGTTAGCAAAAGTACTGTCATATAGTCTGATGCTTCCAATTTTACACTGAAATTTTCTAGAGGACAAAATCAAGTGCTAGAGGACCCAACTACATCTAAACTTGAGATCTCATTAACGTATTCTGTACCCTCACAAGTTTAATTGACATTAAGTCCTTTTCTTTTGTATAGTTTTTTCTCCTGAATTTTAATTTCAGAGGCAAATCAATTTTCCTTTAGCCCTACTTCAGTGATTTCATAACAGGATTGCACAATATCCTTTGCATGAGAGACATTGAAATTCAGGATTTGGATACTCTCACACAGCAGGATATCTGTGGAAATCTGATGCATTTGATGACCTGATGAAATTTAAGGTACTATCTATAGCCTATAAAACCTTACATGGCTTGGAACCAAATCACTTGAGAGATTATCGCTTTCTCACTGCCACTGATGTGTGTGGTAGAAATGTTCTCCTGTTTTCCACTCTTTACAAAGGAAAAGTATGCACCTATCTGAACATTGTCTGCAGCATTTCCTGCATGCTCAGATTTCTTTCTGCAACAGCCTAACTTTTACTCTGGAGAAAACTGAATCCAGTTAGGAGATATACAGAGAGAATAGGTGTTTGCCTGATTTGGGAGCTGATTTAAATGATGAAATCTAATTTAGTCATATTTAGTGTATAATTAAATATTAGACCACCTAAAGCCTTGTATAATGTCTTTATCATATTAAACTGAAATGAATAAAAATATAATCAGAACCATTACTAATTTTCTGGTGATTTATTGAGGTAACAGCTCTGCAATGCCACAGGTGCACACACACTGCAGGGAACTCTATGTAGTTCAGGTCTGGGAGTTCTGATTAGATTGGGAAATATGCTGTGCATTTGTGCCCATTTTGACTGTGCCTGTGGTGCTAAGGAAAGCTGGGGACTGATAACTGCAATGGCCAAGTGTGGTGCCCAGCTTGCATCCATAAGAATAACATTATTTTTCATTCACTGGGTGAATGATCAAGTTTCAGTACATGGGAATGTTCCCTAGCCTTTTCACTTGACTTGTACTGAAACAGCCCTTGCATCTGAAAGCAGCTTAGTCAGTTCAGACAGGCGTTACAGATCTGGGCAGGCTTCTTGCCAGCTATTGTATGGTTAGTCTTTTCCCTTTTGTGAGCTCTCCCATTGTCCTGAAGTCAGGGGAACTCACAGCCCATACTTTGGAAACAAAACCAACCAAGCATGGTGGTTATCTACGGTGATAGTGTGGTTTTAACATGCTGGTGTGGTTTGGGCCCCCTCACCCTGCACAGACAAAGCTAAGGGGCCACTTTGGATAGCACTAGCCAGGGTCTGCTCCTGATGGGCAGTAAGTACAAAGCCAACTTGTTCAGAGGACAGGAGAGACTTTAATCATGAAAGCCTCTGTCTTGTGCTACTTGCCTCCAGAATGGTCCCAGCCCATTCTGTTTACTAACATAAATATAGTTCTAATATAATTCAGTTAGAACTCAGAAATGTTCAACAAGATCCACATTCATTAGTTTCTCTTCATTGAGAATTTTGCAATGCAGATAGAAGGGCTCAGTTTTACTGATGTTTGGTATTTCTTGGTATGATTAGTACAAAAGCTGTATGGTGAACAAGAAAAGCTTGAGTCTTGCAAAGATGTATAGCTCAAAATACATCTCATAATAGCTCATTATCTAGAAGATGACTGTGTATTTCAAAACTTTGCAGTATTTCAAAACAATGTACATTGGCTGCTTCTGAGATACCTCTTTCCCTAAAACACACTTTTCCTAAATTTTCTTACACTTTAAGTTTGATGTCTTCTAAAACAACTGATAGCAGTTCTGTAACAAACCTCATTGCTCCTTTAAATCCTCTCTAAAGCTGTAATGGGCTATCTAGGTCTTTTCTTTTGAACTTCCTGATTAAACCTTTCATTTTCAACCTTAAAATTACTTTAAACAGTTCAGAACTCTGTTCAGAAACAGGAATATTTTGGCTTGCCTAACAATATTTTTATTTTTTTAATCAAACTGTGAGAGATTATTACAAGGTTAAAATGTTATGTGCCTTAAAATTTTCAAAAACCTTCAGCTGCAGAATCTTGAATTATGTTTTCTGTCCTCCTAAACATGCTGTTTGGAACCCCAGAATAGCAGCAGTACATTTTGTTCCACTTGGCAGCTGGGTGAACAACATGAGCAGAGAGCAGACATTAGAAGGGGACTTGGGACCAAAAATAGGCTTTTTAATTTTTCCTAGTTATTTGCTGCCAGATGGTTTCCAATAGTATTTCTCAAGTGTTTCCTCTGATATTACAGGGAAGTAAGTATTTGAAGTGCCCTTAGACCAATCTTTGTGCAGTGGATTGATGTGTTCAAACAGCAGGTATGACACATTCAAATAACTCTGACAATGTCTTTACAGGAATCAACAGTTTTGTTGCATATTCATAGTAATAATTCTGATAATTCTGTTTATTTCTTACCCCTTTTTTCATTTTTGGAAAAGACCTTATGGAAGACAACGAACAGGTTTAAGTTATTGGTATGAATATTCAGCTAGAAGGTATTTTACAGAGAAAGTGGCGTGAGAAAGGGCCATGTTTCCTTGCTTATATTTTCATTTAGTTGGACATGGTAAGCCATCTGAAATAAAAACTCGCAAGACACTGAGTGCTGATCACAGCTGAATTCAAATCTGCATTGTTTATGGAAAACCAAAATGCAACTCAACCAAAGATCCAAACTTCAGATTATTCGCTCACCTAATATACTTCAATAATAGATTTCTACAGAGCTAATTGAACCTTCCTAATGTTGATGTGAGTTATGAGAGTACCAAGCATTCTCATAACATTAAAACTGAATGGAGTGATATCTGTAGAAACATAACTCCTGAACTGTAATAACTTGGCATCAATGATAATGACATTTCAAGACAGGAATGGTAATGCTGGTGGAAAAATGCAGAAGTAATTTGATTTAAACCCACTTTTTCAGTAGGATGGAATTTTTTAAGCCCTTCTACATAATGATATTAAAATTAATTGAAAATATTTGTTCTTTCTTTTCAGTTCACTGCATTTATACTTAATAGATAATATGCTTTGAACTACAACAAAGTCCTTTTTCAAAAGATTTTATAGGGTATTGAAACACTGTCATATCTGAGGGCAGCAAGTTTTAAAATACATAATGTGTCTAAGTATTAATAAAACCCAGCAGTACTTCAAAGTTTTCAAGTAAATCATAGAATAGTTTGGATTGGAAGGGATCATTAAAAATCATATAGTCCAACCCCCCCACCATCAGCTGGATCACGTTGCTCACAAAGCTCCATCCAATCTGACCTTGAATATTTTCAGGGACAGAATATCCATTACTTCTCAGGGTAACCTTTTCCAGTGTCTCACCAACTTCATTGTAAAAAATATCTTTCTACATCTAGTCTGAATCTATCCTCTTTTGGTTTGAAGCCACTACCCCGTGCCCTGTTGCAGCAGGCTCTCCTAAAAAATCCTGTCCCCATCTATCTTGTAGCACCATTTAGGTAGTGAAAGGTTGTTGGAAGGGCGTCCCCAAACATGTTCTTCTCTAGGCTGAACAGCCCCAGCTCTTCCAGCCTTTTGCCTTGGGAGAGGTGCCCCAGCGTTCTAGTCATCTTTGTGGACCTGCTCAGGACTTGCTCCAGGAAGTCTGCTCCCTTGACCAGCTGGCCACTCTTCTTTTGGTGCAGTCCAGGTACAGCTGGCTTTCTTGGCACCAGTGCACATCCCCAGTTCATGTCCAGAACCTCAGGCCCTCCTTGTCAGGCCTTGGTCTCAATCCCTTCTTCTCTCTCCCATTTTGTGTGAATACCAGGGATTACCCCAAACTACATTCAAGACCATGCACTTTGCCTTTTTGAACATCATGAGATCCTCATGAGCCTGCCTTCTGAGCTATCCAAGTCCCTCTGAATGGCATCCCATCCTTTGGCCATGTCAGCCACATCACCCAGCTTGGTGTCATCTGCAAATTTGCAGAGTGTGCACTTATACTATGTCATTGATGAATGAGTAAAAAGTCACAGCAGTCAAGTGGAATCAGCAGTGACTGGAAAATAGGACACACTGCATCCATTTTTAAAAAGGCTAGGAAGGAGGACCCTGTGAACTGCCTGCCTTGTGCATGGAAACATCATGGAGCAGTTTCTCCTAGAAGATGGGCTAAGGCACATGGAGGATAGGCAGGCAATTCAAGACCATGACTCCACGAGGCAAATCTTGCCTCATGTATGTATAGAAGCCATTCATATTATTCCCTGAGTCCCTTGCCAAGGCCACTTCCAGTCCCACCTTAACCTTCCTGATCCCATTCCCACACAACTGCTGTGTCCCTATACTCTTCCTACAACACTTGTCCCCGTTTCCTCTGCCTGTGCATTTCTTTGCCTCCCTTTAGTTTGGCCAGAAGGGTGCTCAAACTGCCTCATCGTGCCAGTCTTATCTTCCTTTCCTGATTTACTAGCAATCAGGAGATCTGGAGGTCACAAGCTCTTAGCCAGTCTGGAAGATGTCCTTAAAGATCTCCCACTCTATTCTGCTCCCTTGTCCCTGAGGGCAGCTTCCCAGGGGGTCCTCTTGAACAACTTTACAAAGAACTGGAGTTCTGCTTTCTTAAAATTCAGCGTCCTTGCTTTATTCTTCACTTAACTCATATCCCCCAGGACTGACTCCAACAGTGCTTAAGACAGGAAGTGAAAGATATCATTTAACACACACTAATACAGATGAAATACAAACATGTGCCCACAAAACTAGAAGAAATTTAAAAAAGAAGGTACATGTGTCACAATTTTATAGATTAAAGAAGGGACATAGTTGTTTACGGTGTGTGTGAATAACTGGTGACATTCATACTCTAATAAGGTGAACTGCAAATAATTTAGTGGCTCAAAGTTTACATCCTGGACTCATAAAAACAAGTTTTGATGAGAATCTTCACTTAATTGCAGGTATTTTAATCTTCAGTGTTTTGGAAATCAAGTTTATTTGGGAACAAAGAATTTTGACATATTTAGCTGTCATGTTTAATACCTTTGATTAATACAATTGACATTGATGGTCTCATTTTCTAAAATCCTATACAGTAAAATTTTGATCCTTTAGGTACAACTAAATAAAACTGTAGCAAAATTAGATATTTCCTTATGAGTACCTACAGTACCTACCTTTTACCCCTCAGAACAAAAATTTGCTTTGGTAAAAGTACTGATGCTCTCCTGTTTGCAAAGGTGCATCAGTTTGACCTATGAGACAAACCTGAAATGAGACAACACAATGTGACAAGGCATGCTTTTCAGCTTTCACAGTACTGCAATAAGTACAGCTTTCAGCTACATCAAAGCAGTAAATCATGAAACCAGAAGCAGAAATTCAATAGTGACATAATAGCTTAAAGAAATAATTGTATACATGCTAATAGGCAGATCTTAACATACAAAATTTGTTTGATTGCAATACTAAAGTAATTAGAAAATTCTTAAATGTGAGACTGTGAGATTGACTTTCCAGCTGTGCAGCTTCCTCCATCTGGGAAAAGATGACACCTAACCTCCTGCTGCTGAGATCAGCTGGCTTTTCAGCATTGAATTCAATAAAAAGAGGAGTTTGATCTCTGCTTTGTGCAGTACTGCAGTTGCACATTCTCTGAAGAATTGGCAACTAAAGGTCTTGGTGATTTGAAATAACACTGCGGCATTTGAATTACTGCTTTTAGTGCCTTCAACCAGTACCAGTCTTTATAACGTGAAATACCAAGATTTAAGAAATAAAGTTATAAATTCGTTATTAAGGAGTAAAATAAAAAATTCCCTCTAAGAAACAGCAGTCTCAGAGACTTGAATTCCTTATCTACACATCAGTGATACAGTGCTAAAACCGTCTGGTAATAAAATGACCATTCAGCTATAAATGAGACAGAAGGCATAATGCATTTTTAAAAGAGACTAAAATGCATTTTCTCAAAGATCATTCTCTGTCTTTTAATTGAAATTAGGCCCTGATTTCTCCATTTTGCTATCAGCTAATATAAGCAGCAGTTATGAGTCAGTCAGCTACACGAATGTGAGCAGGCATAAGTTCATCCAAGTAAATTATTTGAACATAAGACTCTAAGAAGACAAAGCTCTACAAAACTTCACTCAAGCATATGGTAATGTACATGCAGAAGGACATTAACCTGTCCTCTCCTCATGCCTCCTGATGGCAATTTTGGCTCTTGTTAAAGTTTCACAAATTTTTGCCAACAGTTCTTCAAGCGTTTTGAGGTTAAAAAACACAAATTAATGAGAAAACTGTTCTTTATTCTTGCTTTGTAACAATATATAGTACAATCGGGTCAAACTGCTGCCCTTCTGAAACACACACTTATTTGTCCTGTGTAAGATTTTCTGCTCTTCCTTCCCCCTTTAGATTTTCTACCATTTTCCGTAATAGTAATAGCCAAAATGTTCAAGATTGATGTATTGAGTTACATACGCATTTAAATGGCATGCAAGTGTCAGACAATTTATAATTTTCTTCCTCTCATCTGTCTATTAAAGCAAGACATGTAATAAATTTTAATTCTTATAGAAGAGCAGTGATGAAATTATTTAGCAGGCCAGTAGCACTTAGCTGAGGATCACTTCTGCAGAACAAGATTTGATATGCCATGGTATTTTAAAATATCTTAAAGGGTAAAACTAAGAAAATTATTAAACTCTGAGACTGACTGCCATTACTAGGATGAAAGATTATTTAAGAAACATGATCAAGATAATGATCAAAATAATGATTATAAAAGAATATTTAAATGAATTCAGGATTTTGTGTTATCTTTTCTCCAACAACTTGTCAGACTGGAACTTCATGATCAAATGCAGGGATTTATTCACAGATCTTGGTAAGTCCAATGTCTTCTGTCCACATACCCCCCATCAAACTTCATCACTGCATTCTGTTGTGAAAGTTGATTGATTGATTTGGATCTGGAAGAAATAGGAAAAACTTGTTAACTAAATTTAACAAAATAATAAAAACTGAAATTAGTAAGAAATTAAAATAAATTAACATTTAGTACAACACCTCTGCAATCTCTCACATATTCAAATTCTTTTGTATGTGTAAGTTAAGTGAAGCTTATTAAAGCACCCACTCTGGAGTTTTTTATTTATAGAAACATTATCTAATAATCTAAATACAAGCTTCTAAAAATTCCATCTTTCCAGGACCAGCAAGATGAAGCGTCTTTTGATTTTTACATATCTTTATTTATATATTTATTTTGTAAACTATTATGCAAACTATTACAGAAATAATGCTAGCATGATATTGTTCCTCTGTGTATATACCAAACCACAGAAAATTAATAGCTTCTGTGGGGACAGGGACACACAATCAGAATCTGAAAAATAGGAACTGGGAGGAAGTTTCTATGGCCCCGGAGATGTGCTGCTGGCCTGTGAGAGGGCAGATACACCTTCTTGATCGTGCTCTCAGTTGTTTCCAGTAGTGGTTTTTTTTTACACACACTGATATTGTAATATTTCTATTATACAATTCCTCTGTAATTGTTGCTAACCAGAAGAACACAGTGAGGGGGCACCATAATCTCCTGAGCAAGAAGCTGGACAGAGTGCAGACATCATTGTCACAAAGATGCATTCAAAGTAGAGATATTTTAAGAATTACTACCCAGGATTTAAGGTCCTACATTTAACACTTATCCCATTGGCTGAGCTAAAGCCTTCTCTCTGGATCTTAATCTTTGTAATAATATATCCGATCTCTGGGAAAGGCAAGAAACATCTTTTCCTTGCAGCTTTTAAATCCTTTGAAGAAAATTCAACTGAATACAAAGGGATCCAGACTGAAGATACCTTGAATGCTAATAGTACTATTTTTGTTTATTATTGTTTCAGTACGTTGATATAATATTATTATGCAAAACATGAGCTAAAGAAGAAAGAACAAAGGAATACAAAAACCAAGAGCAGAACCGTGAAAAATCTTGGTTAATTTTAAATTAGTTGAATGTTCAGCATTAATATTTTTAGAAGACTTGGAGAATGAGTAAACAAAGATTTTTCAATCATATGATTCTGTCAGGTAGAGTTTGATGACTTTTTAAATTACGTGTTTCCCTCTGTCTCAAAGGAAAAAATGTCAATTAAAGTTTGTTTTCATCAACCCAAATGCATTTTTTCCCCCACAGCATTAACTGCATGGCATCTACAGTACTGACAGCATGCTATTTGAATACCCAGCATTTCAGTGCCAAAAGAAAATGAATATGTGTTATTAAGAAAATCCCCAAAGTTCTCTTCAGCAATGAGGGACTACAATCATGGATGCTGTAATTATGCAAATAATAATTTATATTCAATATTGCCCAAGTGCCACTAAGCTATTATAGCTGCATGCTTGTAGATCTTCAAACATATCTGCATGCAACTCATTCATAATCAGAATATGTATTTGATCAGTTGAAGTGCATTTTTGGAAGGCAAATGCCTTGTTTATTGCTAATGAAATGAAGGCCTCAGAGTAGCTAATAAAGACTTAGCTAGTGGATAGCATTTTTTATACATTCACGTGCCCTCAGAACTCCTGATGAACTGTGTGGTCCAGATGATCAGACAGTGTCACACAGGCATCGACTCACACTATTTGTGATTCTTCCCACATGCTTGATCTGCTCCTTTATTAACCCTTCTCACAGCCCCAGACCTATGGGAATTACATCTTCAACTAAAATCTTATTGTGAGATATGAAATTAATGTCTTTCTGCCCCGTAGATGAAATTTTAAACTTCACCTTCAAACACATTTGAGAAATGCATTAGACAACCTTGTATTACATACTACATCCTGGGCTGTGTACTGTAATATATGATTCAGTGGAAAATTAGAATATTTAAATGTACCTATATAAATAGAACTGTAACTGTCTGCATAGTAACATTGGGTTTGTGTGGACAGGTTCTGGTAGTAGTAGAGGTACCTTCTGTGAGAAGATGCTCCTGTATCCAACAGAGCCAATTCCAGCTGGCTCCAAGAGAGATCCTCCGCTGCCCAAGGCTGAGCCCATCAGCAATGGTGGGAGCGACACTGGGGTAATAGATTTAAGAAAGGAAAAAAAATTTTGCACAACAGCAGGTGGGAGAGTGCCACTCTTGTGCTGATAATGACACAGGAACAGGTGAGAGGCAGTATTGTGGAAAGAGCAAAAGAAAACTTTATTCAAGAGAACCGCGTGGTTTTTATGGAGTGATACGATGCATTCTATTTGATTGGCTAGTTAACAACAACACCTTTCTCATACTCAGTCCTTAAGAACAGAAAGACAAAGTAGAAAAACACCACCTGCAGATTGTTCATACTTAACAAGTTATCACGTCCTTACAACTCCCTGAAAGTTCTCACAAGCCACTGAGAAACGTTTGCTGTTTCTCTTTCTCTGTCCCACGGCATCCACAGGAGAGAGCAGTGAGAATGTGTGAGAGAAACAGCCCTGCAGACACCAATGTCACCGAAGAAGGAGGGGGAGGAGGTGCTCCAGGAACTGGAGCAGAGATTTTCCTGCAGCCCATGGTGCAGACCGTGGAGAGGGAGCTGTTCCCTGCAGCCCGTGAGGAGCACAGATCCACCTGCAGTCCCTGGAGCATGTGGACATACCCTGCAGAAAGGAGCAGGTGGGAGCAGGTGAATGTACCCTGCAGAAAGTGTGACCCTGTGGGAAGTTCATGCTGAAGCAGGCTGGAGCAGGACAGGTGGACCCAAGCAGAGAGGAGTGCATTCTGGAACAGATTTTCTGGCAGCTTCTGGGGTACCATGGTGGGGACCCACACTGGAGAAGATTTTCCTGAGGGATTTCACCACATGGGTGCCCCATGATGAACCAGTTTGTGAAGAACTGTAGCCTGTGGAAAGGAATCACACTGAAGAAATTTGTGGAGGACTGTGTCATGTGGGAAGGATCCTATTCTGGAGCAGAGGAAGAGTGTGAGGGGGAAGCAGCAGCAGGGACAAAGTGTTATGGACTGGCTATGAGCCCCATGCCTTATCTCCTTGCACAGCTTATGGTAAGCGGTAGAACAGTCAGGAATAAAGGAAGTTGAGCTTGGGAAGATGGGAGTGAGGAGGAAAGAGGTTCTAAATTTTGCTCTATTTTTCTCATTATCTTACTCTAATTTACTGTCAATAAATTTAATTAGCTTTCCTTATTCAAGTCTTTTGTTGGTGACTGTAACTACTGAGTGATCTCCCTATATTTATGTTGTCCCCATGAACTTTTGATTGTATTTTCTCCCCTCTCCTGTTGAGGGAAAGGAGTGATGGAGAAGGCTGGTCTGCACTCAGCAGCCAGCCAAAGTCAACCCCTGTCACTTCCACATTGTTCTGTATTGCAACAGATATTCTACATAGGGATTTCTGAGAGGTAATATGATCATAATATATGTAATAGTAAATTTTCCCCATCAATTTTAATTTTAATGTTAATTACAGTATTAGGAGTATAAGAAAATAACTATTACTATTTTTGTCTCTGTAGTTTTGTCTTTTATCATGCTCTTTCTCTGTGAAATTTTCTCCTTTCCTTTTCCTATGACCAGTTTCCCATGTCTCTTCTACTAATCAACCATTCTATTATGTATGTTGGACCACTAGAGAGTTCCTTCAAACTAGTCTGTGGGACACAAATAGATTTGTGTATTTACTTGATTATATTCTTGGTATCCACAAAGCAATACTTTCTTTAAGGATTGCAGTTATCCAAGTGACATTGAGGTCTTCAGACTATAACTGGATAGAAAATGCATGGAACACAATATTTTCTGAGAAACAGAGCCACATCATTGTTAACTGTGGGAAGGAACACCAATGACTTCTTAAGTTGAAGGGTAATAAAAGGAATAGCAATTCTGTAGGATAGTATCCTATTTACAGGGGTTTCTGGGAGTCGACCCAGTGAAAATATGTTTCTGCAAGACCATGTCTTGTGAAACAGCAAGGTTCTGTGCCTTGTGTGTTCCTCTTCAAAACAGAAATAATTTATAACAGGGGAAAAAAAGTTATTACTGTTATGAGCATCCTTGTTTAATACTAACCACTTTAACACTCACAGGGAAGACGGAAACATTAATTTTTCTTCTCATGTATCCCAAGCATTAATGTATAACTTCACAACAATTAATCTTTTCCTTTTTTGCTCCTGTCAGTCCTGCAACCTTTTTTAGGGAAAGATGTATTGCAGCATCAGCCAGGAAAAATGAGTAAGTCATTTCTTTTCCATGCAAGAGGAATGAGCAATCTATCTGGATAGGCTCTGGAAACAAAGATGAATAATGAAATGAATAGTTAGTTCACTAAAAAGTGCAGTGCGGAGGTCATTGAAATGTCACTATTTCTTGAAATGACTTTTTAATAGAGATTGTTTTGAAAAGCTCACATTTTGATCTTGATCTTTTTAAAACAGCATTTTTCGGCTTTTCGTTTTAACATTTAATTTCAGAATTTTGTCACTTCTGGTTAAGAATGTGAGAGCTCATTGTAAAAAAATAACTCTTCACAGTAACTGAATTGATTTTTTTTTCTAAATTATTTAGGAAATCAACACAAAGTTTTAATAATGGCATAAAGTTCCACTGAATGTATCTCAAGCAAAAGTATATGCAATTATCTCACCAAGAAATACTGTAAAACAATTAAATGTATAACACATGCAAAAGTTTTCATTTATCTAAAATGCTGACAACAGAGGAAAGTAACGAATACCATAGATAAATACATGTAAACAGATAACTATGTGAAAATAAATTATATTGGTTCTATCTTACTAATTTTCTCATCTAGTTTTTATTAAAAAATATGTTCGTGTACAGAAAAATGAAGTAGATAAAGACCATTAATTAAGCAGAATATTAACATGCCAGTACAATAATATCTACAGCAGTAAAATCTGGGAGAAAAAGTCTTATTTGCCTGTATATTGACTTCAGAATCATTGATAAAGGCTATAAATGCTGCTGTGTCCATGAAAATTTGGCTAGTATTTCTGAAATCTGACTGGAAGATTCCCTTGGAGTGTTAAAATCACTATGTTTATATCCATTTAATCAGGGTGAAACATACCAGCATGTCAATGCATTTTTACCTTTTTTCTGAATCCAGGACAAAGTGGAAGTAAATGGTTTTTCTGGCCTTGAAAGTAGTCTTCTAACTATTGAAAGAGAAGATGAAGTAGTCTGATGTCAGCCAAAGAAAGCTAAAGCAGAACAAAGATTAGGAGATAAATGGTCAAGCTGGTCTAGAAACTAAGACTTAAAATTAAAAATACATTAGAGTTGCAAATGCAAACATACTGGAGTTGTTTTCTCTTTTAATATTAACAGCAAAATAATTTCTCTAAATTATTACTGACTGTTTTCTTTACTTTAAAATATAACATTGCAAGTGAGCAAATTCTAGAGTAGTCCTCTCTTGTTTTTGGGGTTTTTAAAGGTACTGAAGAACTGATTCAAGCCTAAAATTAATGATGATTATTGTGAGCCTTCATGATTTTACTATGCTTCTGTGGAAACCAATAACACATCCTCTGGTGCATACCAGGAGCTAGTTTCACAGGCATACAGATAACTAGTCGACTGGTAAATAGAAACTAAAGAGAAAAATGTGAATAATTATTGGGAACTACTTAAGAATACTTACCAGCTCTCTCAAATACACAGCTGTCTAAAGTCTTGTACATTATTTACAATTATTTGCAGAGAATGAACATCTGTACATATATTCCAATCAAAACACTCAATTGTTCATTCTCATAATACCCTCATACTCCAATCTCATTTTTTCCATCTTCAGCTTTTACACTTTCAGCTTCACATTTTCTGCTAGAGTGGAAAGCCCACTATTATGGCTCTCTTCCCATAGAGAATGTGATCTAATTACTCATTTGTCTTGTTCTTGTTGGACTGAGCTCCTCAGGTTTTTCCTTTCAAGGCTTTGTTCAACCCTTTAATAAGCCTTGTTGCACTTCTCTGAGTCCTCCAGTTCACCAGCTTCTGAGAAATGCCATTCCCTCGGCCGCCAGCAACAGCAGAATTAATACATGCAGGCATCGCATTACCTGTTCAGGCTGTGCCACCAGAGTGGACACACATCTTGCAGAACATCATCCACCAGTATTTTAAGCCTTTTCAAGTGTCACTGCTTTCCCACGAAAATCTTCTGTGTGCTGCTATGAGAGATATTCCAATATTTGGCCATATTGAAACTCAAGCCTACACATATGTACATGTGCACATTAAGTTGATAATTTTTTTGGTTATCTGCATCTGTCTGACCTCCTCCTAGCCAAACACTTCTCTTTGATGCTAACTGTGAATGGCAAAATCCCCTTTTTTTAACTGACAATTATTTTGTTTTTTCAACAATAGCTGACAAAATCTTGAAATTATAGTCTGATTACTTTTTTTCCTTCCTAGACTCTCTACTAATCACCTAATTGATAAGTTAATGACAGCTAAAAATAATTTTGACATTTTGATAAAATTGATCTCAATTTTTTAAAATATGCTGTTTAACTAGTGGTAACTGATAAGTGGTAAGCAGCACACTAATTTTGTGTTGCTCAAGTTTCTTAACCCTAAGGTATGATGTAGAATGCATTACAAAATTCTAGTGCATTATCACTTGTGCATTTGCCAGATAAACTATTTTCACACAAAAGTGAAGTGAAGCTGTTTTGGAATACCTATTTCTCAAAACTATGTGGGAAGTAACATTTATTACATTAACATCTTTTTAAGAGCCAGATGTTCAATTTCTGAAGCAGCACAAGAATCATTACAATTTTCAAATTCAATGACTAGGAGTTGGGAGCTCCCCTTTGGAAGTCTTTGCTGCTGGTCTATGTGAGGTTAGATTAGATGATTGCAGTTACTCTCCATTTGCTTAAAAGAATCAGGTTAAGAAGAGCTGCTTTGATGGAAGAATCTATTAAACAGTTTTAAAATTTCTGAGTACGCAGCGAAATGGCCCCACACTAGGACACACTGAGCATACAAACTATGACTACTGGTTCAAATCAATAGCCAGTGATCACGGGGAAAAGACTCTTTCAGGTAACTGAGAAGTTTTAGAAAAAATAAAAAAAATCCCAGCTGATTTTCAATGGGTCTTGTATCATGATTTTACCATACATTAGATGTGCTTTCATGCACTAAATGTGTTACAGTAAAATTAAGCGATGCTTATTAAGCAGTACGGGAAGCAGACTTTGAGAGGAGGTGAAAAGTGCTGTGCCATGACTCCTTCTCCAGATTTTCCCATGGCAGCATATACTGAATACAGGCTTAAAACGAGGTAGTAGGTGAGTACAACTTTTTACAGGTCTCCTGGCTAAATTCAGCTCTATGGCTGTGATTGAAAACCTGCTTTGTTTTTTTAATTTCTGGTAGAGAACAGCAGTGTTGCAGGCAGCTGGACAGCTCTGGGCTCTGCCTGTTTTACTCATCAGTGTCCGTCAAGGCCAAACACTGGCCTTGCACAAGCTGCAAGGACTTGTGTGTACTGACCAGTTGTGTTTTGGCAGCTGTATCCCAATGACAGTTTCCAATGTTTGGGGCTGGAACGTTTGGCCTCAATGGTTTTGTAGTGATAAAGTCATAGAGCTATTTTTCCACATATTTTTGTATTTCATCAGCAGGCAGAGTGATTTCATGCATTTGCCCATCTGATTCATTCCAATGCAGTGCTCTGCTACTCTTTGATCCCAATAAATTAGACAATTGCTCTATTACATTGGTGAATACTAAATCTATAATTTTAACGCAAAATTTAATTTTACCAAGAACAAGCATCTTCTGTACTGTGTGACCTAAAAGCAACAGACTTTCTGCTGAAACCACTTGAAACTTTGATTCCATCAACAATTGAAAGGTACTCTTTAATCCATTTTTAAAGTTAAATGAAACTTTTTTGAACACATTTACGGCCTAAAGGGTTTTTTTCCCCTAACTGATTGCATTGTCAGGAAAGAAAATTTGTTCCTTTTGGGAAGGTTTATCTTTGAATCCTCTGCTTATCTGTAAGCAGGAGAGTGTCTCCTGGATTCTCTTTAATTCCAATTCCTTACAGAAATTATACATTTTAACGAAAAACAATCCTTTCAGTGTTAATTCAGATCTAATTCAACTGGAGCTGGTGAAATCTTGATGTGAGGTGAATGTATACTGGTATAAGAAATTAGTCACTTTCCTCAATATTCTTCCTGACGAATTTGTCTTTGATCCTATTAAGACTTTCAAAGCTTTAACATTAGTTAAAGATCTTCAGAAGAAAGCAATCTGAAATTACATATAAAGGAAAATTATTAGACTTTTTCCTAATTATGGTTTGAGGCTCATTTAACAGGCATCAGGGGAATGAAGCATTTTAAAATAAGCTGAGAGGAATTACAGCACTTAAAGTCTGTATTTCTGCCTGCTAGAAATTTAGTTGTGATTTCAGTGAACTCTTGTGGTAAGTTAGAACATGTTGCGTATGTACCAAAAGGACAGAGACCCCAGGCAAAATACTTTGGTGGAAATCCTGTGGGAGGAATTGTGTATGTAGCATGGGAATGTGCCCTGACATTCAGTACACAGCCAGGTTGAAAAAATCCCTTTCCTATCTAACCTAAGATTCCTGCAGAAACAGCCTCTTCAGAAATGAGTTGTGTCTCTGCAAGGACACACATTGGATGTACACTGCCAAAAGATGCAATAGGGTAACTGTAAGTATCTAAGATGATCATGGAAAAAGAATAATTGAATGGAAATAAAAAGCTTTATGATGTGAATTTTTAAATTTTTTTTCCTTAAAACACAAATCTTCACAGAGGAAAATTAAAAAAGAATTTATCATTTGTAGCTGACAATTCATGACTCTATCTATTTTGCTTTTTTAGACTGATTTCTAATATTAGTAGAGTTATTAAAAGTTAAAGATAATTCTGACATACAGGTTAACTTACATCTTCTGATCCTGAAACTACATGGAGGTCTCTAGGTAAAATTGTGTTGGTTTCATATCTTTTCTGAGATACAGTAGAATGTTCAAGGTGTTTTAATAGCATGCTGTATTTTCAATACTATTTTCTTTCATTATGCTATGTTCCCTGGTATCAGAATTCTATCTGTTATTGAGGTTGAGTTTTTTCACTATATAGAATTCCATTTCCATCTCCTGGGTTACTGTTTTTCCTGACCTCACCTATGTTTTCCTTTTTCACATACAGTTTGTAGTTTGCAATCTCAGACCATCTTTGTGAACAAAGTTTCAAGTGGAGATAACTCTTAGCCAAAGAGTAATTGCAATATAATTGTTGCTTATCTTCCTGAAAACATTTGGAAATAGTAGTGATGGTATTGGAATGGACCTGGGACAAGACAAAAGACAGAAGTCTCCACCCACCTTGAAAGAAACAGCAGATATTTCAGGACAAACAGAACATACATAGGAAAAAAAATTCTCCAGCATAATTACTGGTAAATTTTTTCCCTGTTTTAATCACATGTAATAAATTTGCAGTCCTTTCCTTATTCTAAAAGTCCTTTAAATTAAGTTTTATTACAGAAAAGAAGAGGGAAAATTACTTACCTTAGCTCCTTTCCATAGTACTCAGCTGCACTTTCTTTAATTTTGTAATATGCAAGGCTTATTCCAATCTCTGCAGCTGTTAGTCTAATTGGATGATTTCCTGTTTGAAATGCAGAATAATTTAAAGTGACTAGCAGTTGTTCAGGGAACCTCCCTTTCTAGGACATAACTTAATCTGACATATTCAACGCTCATCAGAGATTCAACATCTTTTCAAACTGATTGCTGCTTCCTCCATCACACTCCAAGTTCCTTGACTTCCATTTAAGTGCTCCAATTCAGAATTTGATTATTCAAATGAAACTAAGAGGAAAAATCAGCCTTTTTTTTTCTTTTTTGAATGTGCTTCCTCAAAACATATATTGCATGCAGCCCTCTGTAATATTTGCTGCATATCTCATCCTCTGTGATGCAACAGCAAGCTCTGTGTTGAGGTTAGAGATTAAAGACAATGATGTGGGAAAAATTTATGTTGCATATGGCTAATATCTACCAGAATTTATCACCAAATTTTAACCACCAAAATTTAATTTTTTTATAAAAAAGGGACAACAATTTCTCTTGATTCATGAATTTCATTAAGGCATAAAACCTTGAAACATAAAACTTTGCCTGATTTGCCAGGCCCAAAACTTCATGTGAGTGAGGTCACTGTGGAATCTCAAGATGCTGACTGTGTGAGAGAGACTGTTCCCCTTACTCAGACAACTACCCAGGCACGTGTTCTCCAAGGAACCTAATTATATCTGATTCCTGACAAAATGCTGCTTACCTTCTGACTTGTTTGTTTTTGTTAATTTTTCTTTGGTTTTTCATTTGGCTGATTTTATTCCTTTGCTCTATTGTACATGCCTACAGAATTTTCCTCTTGGTGGGATAAAGACACAACATTTCTCTAGATGCCCTTGAAAATATGAAAATTTGCCTTAAGTAGTTTTTCATTATTGTTAAGGAAGTTACTTGGCTTAAGAACTATACCTGCAGATAAGATTTGAATGGTAGGTAAAGAAAAAAAATATTTGCAAACAATATAATAAACTCCAAAGGAGGAAATGAGCTTTCTTCTGTGTGGGAGAATCTGGGAGGCATTTACTGAACCATAATGGGAACAGTTCACTTGAGGTTTCATCTGGAAAATTTAATGCTTTTTAAGAATGTCTGTGACATGAGCAGGTCACTCATAAAAATGACTGGAGGACAGAAGAGACAAATAATATTTCTTCAGATGTACACTGAATCCATGGATTTCCCTTGAACTCAAACAAATACAACAAATTAAGAAATCAAAATAAATTAACACATTCTAATACAGTGCTTGCATGTGTGCTCATGGTGAAGGAGACCAAAACACCTCTCAAAGGGCAATTTTTCTAGCTGGTAATATTTTCTGGCTGTCAGCTTGGCAGATTTATGATGAAAAGCGGCAATCCTCTCCTATTTCAAGCTGCCATTCCCTTTTTACCTTACATTGCTGTGAGGCAAGGTTTTCCTCAGAGGTAGCAATGAAAAAGGAGTTCAAAAGTTGAAAATAAAAGCTGCCTGGGGTATAAAATATTGAGGGGGATTTTCTTTATTCCTGGGGTGTAGAACATGTTTCAACTGTTGGCCATCAGTGGCCAAGTACATATGCAGCTGCATAGAACTTTTCTGATTATTTTATGCATTTATTTCTTACTATAATGACTAAATTTTACCAGGTCAAAGCTAAGAAAACTCACAAAAACTCAAACCCCTTTTGCTGATGCTCAGGCATAGTGCTTACCTGAATAATGCAAAGGCAGAGGGTGTGCAGAAATCTCATTGCTTCATGGTCATCTTGGGCAAACTTTTTTATTTAGACTTAAAACTGTTTTTCATTTTTATTAATTTCTTTATGAACTCAATTGTGGCATCATGCATAATGAAAGAAATGGAGACATGGATTAAAATGCATCCCATGTAGATATGAAGTGATGTACTAAGTACCTTCAGGCTCTTGTGAAGGGTCTGCACCTTGTTCCTCCAAGAGGAGAAGCACATGGCTGTGCCTATGTTAGCATACAGTGACAGAGCAGCTGGAATGCACCATCTGTAAGGAAAAGAATTGGCAGTGAAGGTCTGGAGTATTTTTTTTTTTCTGTCTGTTTGGGCTTTTTGTTGTTTTTTCTTTCTTTAGTTCAGGCTAATTCTACTTTGGCCCAATGGATTGAGCAGTCATTGGTTGACAGAGTGCACCAGCCATTCTCCTGGAGCTCCTCTTCCATTTTAGCTTCCTCTAAGGTGGTGCAGTTCAAGATCTCTAAAGACCAATCCTTCAGAACCCAGAGAAGAGCATGAATTTCACCTTGGAAGAACACTTCTGACCCACTCTATTTAGATCTAATCTGTTAGTCCAGTGCTCTACATGATGGCAATAATGCATTGATGCTAAGACCTCTATATAATATTTCAGTCCTGTTCTCATGAAATAAATCATTCTTTGATACTCTGCTATATTCTCTTTTCACCACATTCAAAATTAAGAAACTGTCAAGTAAGCTGGATTGATACCCTTACTGATGACTGGGCCTAGTATTTTGGCTTTCTATTTCTGGAAAAGAGATAAATGGCATTTTCTTAGGAAAAATTCGTATAAAATAATTGGCTTTTTAAAATTTTCATCATTTTCTTTTGAACCTCATAATTTTTTATGAAGCATATTACAGATGTGGTTGTGCATGGCAAGATTAGTCACAAGACATTTAGAGCTAGCTGATTAACACTGCTTTACAGAGTTTTTATTTAGTAAAATTAGAGGGCATTGCTTTAGTCTGTTTAAAGGACCCATTATCTTGCAGCTTAGCGTCCAATAATTTGTCTTACATAAGCAGTTAAAGTGAGTTGAAATCTCAATATAGCAGTTTGGCAGAAGTGTTAAATATAGGTATCATCTAAACTCACTGGAAATGGCGATTGTTTTTCTAAGAACACAGTCCAAAAGTGAACAAAAATGAAAGGGGAAAATTTCCAGCAGGCCTTCTTGGCTCAAATTGTAACAACTATGTTAATCAGAGCTTTGTTTTGCACTGGCTGCAATTGCCTTTCAACAGTCAGTACAAAAGTTAGCAAAGCATAAGCATTCATGTGACAAGAATAACTCCCCTAGGAGCAGGAGCTGAAGCTGACCTTCTAGGAGAGGACATTGCACAACTGCGAGTAGAAGTACTTGGGGTAGGCTTGTAGCACGGTAATTTTTGTAAAAGACTACAGGTATTTGTGTCCAGTTCTCATGGAAATGTACTTCATTTGTTTCTGTGCACCATGCAGTCTGAAGAAAGAAAGAAAATATCAGTTATCAAATGACTGACATATTTTTATGTCAGTCATCTGATATCTATGTCAGACTATCACAGATACTGTTTTGTTTCTTTTTTCCCTCAAGTCTCTGCAGTTCATTGGTATTACCAGAAATCTCTCACCTTAGAGATTGCTGACCTCACTACTGTGAGGCCACACAAATTCATCAGAGCAGAGACATCAATAAGTATCCCAAAAAAGACTGGGGACAAAGGCTTAGAGTGTTGAGGGACATTTTAGCTGAGCTCCTTTTTTGTCTCTAAGCTATTGATTGGGTTGCATAATAAGCTGAGACAATACTATTTTTTATAATATCATAAATAAAACAAAAGGAACTTGCCCTGAAAAATCAGGAAGAGAACAGCACTGATCCTGAACTGGCTGCTGTCAATAAACTTGTTCATGCCTACAACAAGGTATGCTTCTGAACTGTGATGCACCTTAGTGCTTGAAATGAGAATTTAAAATCCATAGTAAATAAAGCAAAAATAATCTGCAAGGTAGTAAAAATAACATGCTCCGAGATGCTTGAATAAATAAAGAAAAAAGAAAGTGCAAGATAATAAAATAACCTACTCAGGGACATTCTAATAAAATTTTAAAAGGCGTAGATAGCAAGCTAGTCAAAAATGAGGCGTATTGTCTGCAATGAGGTAATTATGTTTTAACAGATGAGGTGGGAATCCCTATTCTGAACATGGTGGAAGTATTCCAAGTTCCCATAATAAATTCCCTCCTCCTCTGGTGTATGTAGTTGTTTCAGGCGGGAACATTTCTGGTAAGAAGATGGGCGCTCAATCTACAGCAAGATAACAGATAAGCAAGAAAAACTACAATCAGAAAGGTTTTCAAATGGAAAAGTGGTCTAAGTAGAAAAGCTGAACAAAGAGAGACAAAAGAAGAGAGGTGCTCTGAGTGGAATTGACAGCAACATTTTACCAACTAAAACAGCTTTCAAAATAAAAAAAAATATGATGGAAAATCTTGAGAACCTTATTAATTACTACTCGAGGAAAGAACCTACCTTCATTTTACCAAAAACTGTGTGGCATTTAGAAGGCATGCAATTTCTGCACTTCATACACAGAGTAAGGTGAAAAGTATGTAGTGTCCTGTTGATGGTCCTTTACTGCTTAAACAGTGTCTGGCCACTCTTAGATGAAAAATAAAAACATGCTGAGAAATTCTCCCTGAAGATCTCCTCTGGAAGAAAGATGATCTCTTCTGCCTGAAACATATTAAAGACCAAACTGAGAACAGGAAGATGCTTAGAGCAATTAGACTTCAAGAGTACTTCTGTTCATCAACTTTCTCTGAGCTACTTTCCCAAACAACACAATAAACTTTTAAGTTAACAGAAATTACAATATTTGGGTTTTTTTTCCTTTTTGTTATAATTGAGCCAGATTTTTTTCTTTTTCTCGCTAAGCCATTGGAATACTATACCAAAAATGTCTTTTTAAAAAAGCAAAATTGAAGTTTAAAAACTCTAAGTCAAAATTAAAGGTTTAAACCTCTAAATAATTGATTAATTTACTTATTTAAACCTCTAAATAATTTATTAATTTACTTAAAGTCTGAAACCTCCTTACAAACTTATTGTCTTTGACTACAGTTGTTTTTTTCCTAACAGAAACCTCTGGGTTTGCCATTTGTAGACTTCCACTAAAAATGTGTCCCTTAGACTTTTGCTGAAGACACTACTGATTGTTCCCATGACAGTTTGCAACAGCAGGATCTTCTTTTGGCCTCTGTTTTTGATATTGAGCCTAAACTGCATTTTTACCTAGTAAATGGAGCTATTGTTAGAAACTACTGGAAGATGACAGCTCCTGTGACAATTTCTGAGACTTTAAAATGCAATTGTTCAACCTCAGAGAGAGAGAGAAAAAAAAATCTCATTTTTCTGGAAAAAAATGATTGGTGTAAAAAGGTTTATTTTTGCTTCCAATTTTCATCCTGACCTCTCCCTGTGTCTTCAGCAGTGATCAGAGAGCCTTCTTGGAAAGGCATAAACATTTCTTTGGCTAACATCACCAAAATCTCTGTGTCTAAGAAAAGGCTGTCTTCGCAACCTTTCTTTCTGACAGTCAGAGGAAAATTATTCTTTAGCAAAAACATTGCTGCAACTCTTTCACAGTTTACCATTCTTCTGCTGGAATGCAGGTTGCTTTCAAAACTTTATAGAAATTTCTCTTCAAAAGAAAGGTGACTTGTCAATAATCTTTTCATTGAGTAAAATAAAAAATAAAAAAAATAACAAGACAAAGGTTTCTATTGAACATTCTGTTGATCCCTGGGTACTTGGTGGGGCTAAAGGAAAGCAAGATATACTGAAGGAAAAATATACTAAATGGTTAGTAGGAGGAATATCTCAGCACACCCAGAAGGCAATCTCTCTAGGATAATTTGCAAGAGTTCTCTCCTGAGAAAAAATCCAGAAAATTAATTCTTTATGTTATTCTCAAGAGATTAGGGCTTACTGGGATCAAGGAGCATCCCTGCAAACTCTTTACTATTCAATCAACAGATTTAGGCTCCAGTGTGATCATAGAATAAATCTGTCTTTAGGTCTTCTGGTACAAGATCAAAAGAAAATTCCATGAAGCAAAGTAAAAAGCCAATTTAAACTCATTCTGTATAGTCAGTTTTGCTCAAAAGATGTTGCTGTGCTGACTTTGAAGTCTCAGGCTTTCTCCTGGAATAAGTTTCAATGCATTATCTCTTTTCCTACATACCTGAAAATAAAAGGGCTTAAACACTGTATTGTATGCTTCAGTGTTCATTTGAAGAAACGCCAGGAAGCGTTCCTTCCTGCCCTTCCCTGCCCTCAGTCTGGATAAAATTTGTATTTTGAGTTATCTGGTAGCATACAGTTGCAATATCAATGGTTATTGAAACATGAAAAAAGGGATAAAAATTACCATTCTTGTTATATTCTCAGGCTTTTTGCAAACAGAACTAAGCAAATGCCTGTTTATGAAGTTGGGGGGGGGTTAAAGGTAATGGTCCTGCCTTGTTAAATTTTTTTTTCTTGGTTTTTATTCATTAATCCTGTGACTCATCTCATTTGCTTGTTAATGAAAGCTAGTATGAGAATTTTTACAGCCTAGTGATGTAATTTTTTTATTAGTTCTGCAGTGTCTTGACTAAAATAGGGTACTGTGTATGCCTTCACCATAGTGCAGAAAGAGACAGGTAATGAGAAATGGCCAGCAAATGAAGAAAGAGAGAATAAGCACTGCTGCCAAGCTGACTTCACAAAAAATTTCTCTCTTTTAAAAACTGAGTAAGGAGAAAAGTGGTATGAGTGCTACAGCTGGGGTTGTCAGAGAAAAGCCACTTCAGAAAGTAAAACATACTGCAGAGATAAGGCTTTTTTTTTCTAACTCATCAGAAAGTAGTTCCAAAAGGAAAATGCAGACCTCACCAAATAAGTAGTCAAAAAGAGAGAAAACCATCTGTTGTATCCCTTTCCCCCTGTCCAGGGGGAAGGGAAGACCTTCATAATCTGAGTCAGAAGCAAACAAATAGGAGACCTATGGAAGGGGATTTATTTCTTACTCCAGCTTAGAGAATTTAAAACAGTATGGGAAGAGAAGAACGAAAGGTAGAGGGAGAGCACGAAAAACTAATGAAAGAAAAAGAATTCCAGAACTATATTAGTTCCTCTTTACAGATATTTGAAAATGCTATTTATAGACAGTAGTACTTGCAAACCAGTATCAAAAAGCATATATTAGGATATGCATCCATTGATGCAAATTTCACAGGAAAACCTGTAATTTTGCTAAAAAATGGGTATAACCACAAGCTATCAGTTTACAGTCAACTAATGTCATCAAAGGGTGGATTTCTGCTGAGAAAATGCATTTCTTGAAAGATCAGAAGACCATTTGAAGGTGTAGTTAATATTATGCCACTGTCCTGAACATTCTTTAAAGATTAGGATAACACATATTTTCTGGAAGTGGCAGTCACAAATAAGGGTACTATTACTGAAGTGTGAAACAAGCAATCAATGAGCACTACTGAGTGACTATAACCTCCATTTCACCTTAGGCTTCTGTAGATGAAATTTCAGAGCAAAATACGATTTAATATTTTTCCTGAAGAGCTTTCAGCTCATGTGCCATAACTACAACCAGGTCCTACAGGGCAGCTTAGTTTGAAGCTAATGGAACTCTGCAAGGATGCCGAGGTCACTCCTTGCCAAGGCTCTGGGAGAAACAGCCCGTGTCAGGTCTGACAACAGGAGTGATGGCAGTAGACAAAGCAACCCCGAGGCAAAGTCTGAATCAAAATCAGGTCACATGTAAAGGAATCATTGAGGTTGCACTTTTTGCATCAGCTGGGAATCTGGTCCTCAGGCAAACAAAGTTAGTGGCAGATGGTGGAGGTTCTGTGGAGAGATTTCAGAAGGGCAGCAAAACCACATATCAATGATGAAGATCTTGGGAGTCAGAGTGAGTAAAAGGGAAATACTGGATCTTCATTTGACACATTTTTCATTCTTGTCTTCATTCACTTCTTGTACAAACCATTTATTTCTTTTATATAGTTTTGCTGGTTTTCACTCCAAGATCCATTTCAATGTAAATACTTAGACCCATGTTAAAAAAATGTGGTATCTTTCACATTGAGCTCAATTAATATGTAAATTCCTTCAAATGGTACTGCTAAAACAGCAGAAGAAAAAATAATCTGCAGCAATGGACTTAATAATTGACAGCTCTGCAGCGTGGTCAAAATCTGTGATAAGCTATTTGAAAATGAGAGTTAAAAAGTAGTAAAGAGCATATTTTTCTTACAGAGTGGAGTAAATGAATATCATATTCCTATCCTTACAAAGTACTAAACTAATGCTATTCAATTAAATCAAATCCTCTTGAACGATAGATGGCTAGTTGATGGGATTCATGATCAAGCAACTATCTGCTATTACAGATCTGCATAGCATGGTCTGAAATCTAACCTGAAATAGTCTGTTAAAAAAAACACAAAAAGGCCAGTATTTCAAATTATATCCAGTAGGAACATAGCAAGGACACTAGCAAGGGCATGGAGCCTGGCAGAGCTGGGGAATCCAGCAGGTGGAACACAACATCAATGACTGAGTTGCATCCGGACAATAAGCCCATACCAGCCAACTAACAAGGGGAATGCAGTTGAAACCAAAGTCCTTTCCTATCAGATGTTTGTCCTGAAGAATAAAAATAGAAAATATTACAGGAAAGCAATTTGAGTCTTTTACAGTGTCCCTTTCTTGTGAAGGGTTTTCAGATTCAGTCAGCAGTAATAAATTCCTCATAATCAACAATATCTATTTAATCATGAGGCTGTTTTCAGAGACACCTGTAAAAGTGGTTTTGGTGTTCTTAAAATTACATCCAGATAGAATAATGATGATTTTCTCTTCTGGGGTATGGTGTACATAAAGTCTGAAGCACACGAAAATAACAGGAACACAACTTTGCAGGCACTACATGATGCCTTTGTCAAGACCTCACTATATGCAATCATACAAGAGGAAATCAAGGCCTGAGTGAAAAATGTAGGTCTGCCTCAGGAAAACTATGGTACCAAAAAATCCCATTGTGAACACTGGAAGTCAGGACAGAATTACAATTAACAACCAAAAAATGTCAGGTAAGAGCTTCCTTTTTTTACATTTTTTCTCCCTCATATTAAGTCTTTATCTTTCCCTTGTGAGATTTAAACTTTAAAGACTCTTGCTTAGAGTCTGCTTCCCGCACTAATTACAGACACTAAGCATCTGTCAGAATGTCCTGTGGTTATCACTGGAATTTAAACTACCACCATTCCCCACAGTATAGTAGTTAAATCTTAGTGTTTTAAGTCTATATCCCCTTGTACTTAGTATGCAGCGAACCATCAGATACATCTGAAATATGCAGCTGAGTTCTAACACACTCTGATAATGAAGGAGATAAAGCAATCATTCACAGGTCTTTTCAAATGAAATACCTCGATCTCTCTATTCAGATACGTAACTTCCATTTACTGTTTGCCTGAGAATTGTCCTTATGATACAAAATCCTCCTTTTGATTTAACTGAAAGAGAAACATTGGATCTTCATTCAGCACTGCAGCTTCATTCTTCACATCTGTTTGATGTGAAGTCTCTGAAAGTTGTTTGCTTTCCTTTTGGAACTGCATAGTGATTAAAGAAAGCCAATTTGCACAGAAAACTCACTGGTTTGTCTT